AGGTTTTCACTTAGAGGTGGTTACTAAGACACATATTTGCTATTGACACAGAAATCTGTGGCGTTATATTTATCTGTTTATATATAATCATGACTGAGGATCAAGAAAAAATAACTCCATAAGCATTACAGAGACAAAAGAGTGTTCACTATATATATAACCATGATATATCCATGATATACAGAGACAGGTTTTCACATAGAAGTGTTTACCAAGACACATATTTGCTGTATACACAAATATTTGTGGTGCTATATTTATATGAGGCTAAACAAAAAAGGATTCCATAAACATTACTAAGGGGTGTTCATTGTATCCATGATATACAGATTCTAACACATAGAAGTGTTCACTAAGACGCATATTTGCTGTATACACTTTAGATCACATGTAAATTGTATTGACAAAGACTATTAATAAATATAAATCGATTAACCATAAATAAAATCTTTTGTTATTGAGGGCCTTTACTGAAGTTTTACAGAATGATTAAAATAACTTCAAAGATTTATCAACGAATGCATAAAGAACGTGTAAAGAATCCATAAGGAAAGCAGCAGTCTGTCAGGAATATGTAAAGAAAAAGTAGAGAATCTTTACAAAAACTCTATTGAATCAGTAAAGTTTGAAACTTATATTTACAGAATAAATGCAGTATCATTACAGATTCTGTAAACTCGTTTCTTTATCGAAACATTGCCGTGATCAAGTCCGAACAGTTTCATTACAGTTTTGACAGTAAAGAATCTGTATGGATTTTTTATGGAAATTGTGATGGAAAAAATTGCCTGTGTAGTATACCAATAAAGGTTCTGAAATATCTGAAAAACATTAAATGATACATAATATTGATATAGAATAGCTACAACATTGGTAAAGTTTATAAGTTCAAGTTATTTTACATTTTCATATGTTTCAGTAATTTTTCATAATAAATGGGGTAGGGGAGATCTGAAAGCTCTAATATGACCATTGGGGGTCCAATATACATTTTTTGTATCTTAAATGGAAGAAGACATCTACAAGAACAAATTTGATTAAAATTGCAACAACCAATAAGCATAAAACTCAATATATGAGGAACTATATGTTACTGCTGAAAGCGAAAATGATCAAAAATGCCAAATTTTGTCCTTAATTATCTTATTTCTAGACACTAGTACACTAATGAAGGTCCTTAAACATCTGAAAAACATTAAATAATACATAATAATAATATTAAATAGCTATAGTTTTGTTTGAGTTGAACATTTTGACTTTTTGAAGTTTCCATTTTAGCCAATTTTTTTCTAAAAAATTCAAGGTATGTCTTCTTCGGACCAATATTTAGATATGTTCGCAAGAGTTATATGCTTCGCAGGCGAAATCCCTAATGCAGGAAACCCTAATAGAATGAAAAATACAGAGAAACTCCATCCAGCTCATAAAGTCATTTTTTGCACAATTCTCACACCTTCCACCCCGAGTAATCGTGGCTCATATAGTCTACCCGATTTATCAAGAAGTAAGAATAGCACACTTGTGAACGTGTATAGAGCTGCACAATAAATGAAACAAAAACTCGAATTTACCGAACTTCCCCAATTTCTTAAAAATAGACTGACCCCAAGGAGGATTGGCTCCCAGGCCATCAACTCGAAATTCGACCTTGACTTTGATCGATGGCAACATTGAAAAATTTCATTATTTTCTGATATCATAACTGACTGTAAACTCATAATCAGCGATTTGAACTAATATCTTGATAAATTCGTGTGTACTTTGGATTTTTTTTTGTTTGGAAATAAGACCAAAACTCACAATTCAAATTTTGGAGTGACAAAATGGCGGACGTTTTGATTTTGAATTTTGTAACTACGACATGACTACATGTACGTGACAATATTGTCAAGGTCATAACACCATATATTGCAATGCTATCGATATTGAATTCTGGGAGTCAATCCTCTTGGATTGATCCAGTAGATTCGTTTGGAGCCTCCATATTCTTTTATTCGGGACTTATCTTTTTATGAGGTTGTTTACGAATGCAATGCTAAATCAATAAGCAGCTACACCGCTGCTCTTATTAGTACATTTGCACTGAATTTTTTTCAGTACAAATCCATGTACTGAAAAATACACTGAATATTTAGTACAAAGGATAGGTATCGATATGGAGAACTGAATTCAACAATGTTTTTCTCTTAAACAAATCATTGAAAACATTCTGTAAAAAAACATGGTATTTTATGTAATGTTGACTGATTGAAAATAATTTAATGCGAAAATTATTAAGAAATATTTTATATAACTGTTTTTGTTAACATTTTTTGTTTTTTTAGTGCAATTGTTTTTGCTCCTTTCTACCAATTCTTGAGAATGAAATAAGATGTCTTTCCGAACCTTGTTTGAACAAAATAGCATATACAACATGTTTTTAGACCTCTCAATATTAAAGTTATACAAAGGAATTTTTGGTTGATTTTAAAAAACTATTCAAAAAATTAAAACAAAATCCCCCCCAAAAAGATAAAAATCAAGAAAAACCTTTTATTTCATTAACAAGATACTTTTTTAAAATCAACCAAAATTTCCTTTGTACAATTACACTATTGAGAGACCCAAACATGTTGTGTTTATGTCGTTTTGTTCCAATGAGGTTCGGAAAGATGTTTCATTTTACTCTGGAAACATGATACCAAGAACAAAACAAGTGTTTGATGTGTTTTTTAAAACAATATAGATGAAAGTATGTATATCTATTTCAAATTATATTGTTACCATTCAAAAGATAGCCATTAAATTGACAATTTGTAAGATTTTCAGAAATTATTGATGACTGGTTTAAGAAAAACGTGTGTTCAAAAAGTTCGCCATATCGATACCCATTCTTTAATTATCAATATGTACGGAATTTTAAGAACATTTTAAGAACAAAAATATACTGAAAATGTACTGAAAACTTAAGAATAAATTTAAGTACAAATATCTATTGAAAAATATACTGAAATTTTAAGATAATATTAGTATTAATATGCAATTACTTACCCGGGACCAATAAGACACTTTGAGGAGATGATTACACCTGGTTGGCCTAGGGTGTAGTTAATAAATTCTCATTGTCTCTGTACCTTAGGTCAAAGTATTAACTTCTTTCATAGGATTTCCACTTATCTCCCTGGGCCAATATGACATTTTGAGGATATTATCCAGGGTTGATTATGGTTGACTGGGCCTGGGAGGGGAGGGGGGGGGGGGGTGGTCTTGCCAAGAATTATTTCAAAATCCTGCAGTTCTTCACCGTTAAGAGCACATTTAAAATGCTTTTGGCCATTCTTTAATTATCAATATGTACGGAATTTTAAGAACATTTTAAGTACAAAAATATACTGAAAATGTACTGAAAACTTAAGAATAAATTTAAGTACAAATATCTATTGAAAAATATACTGAAATTTTAAGATAATATTAGTATTAATATGCAATTACTTACCCGGGACCAATAAGACACTTTGAGGAGATGATTACACCTGGTTGGCCTAGGGTAGTTAATAAATTCTCATTGTCTCTGTACCTTAGGTCAAAGTATTAACTTCTTTCATAGGATTTCCACTTATCTCCCTGGGCCAATATGACACTTTGAGGATATTATCCAGGGTTGATTATGGTTGACTGGGCCCGGGAGGGGAGGGGGTGGTCTTGCCAAGAATTATTTCAAAATCCTGCAGTTCTTCACCGTTAAGAGCACATTTAAAATGCTTTTGGCCATTTTAACCCTCTGGAATTTAAAAAAAAAGTGAGCTCCCTTGGTAAATCCTGGCTACACGGACCCGTTGACCCCGATTTATATGCTAGTTCATTAAATCTTGCATGGTTTCCGATAGTATTTTGATATACTCATTACAAATAAATAAAGATATTTTCAAAGGGGATATGATTCTAGCGACTAGCATGTCTACCTTATATTTATAATCATGAAGGAAGAACGATGTGTCTGCAAGAAAGAATTTTTGTAATCAGAAAATTATTTGTTATTGATATTTTTGATAGAGAAACTGCAATCAGACAATACAGGATGTCTTAAATAATATCCATAAACAGTTAACTACAAAGAAGGAAAACTCTGATTACGGTAAAGACTCAGTTTCTCTATTTGATTAAGAGTCTGCTTTAAAAAATGTGTCTAAAGACACTTTAATAATCCATAAACAAAACAAAAATAATTTGACAAGGCAAAACAAACCTGAGTGATTACAGACCAGGGAGACACTAAGTTTGATTATTAAGTCTGCAATAAAGGAAGCATCAAATGTAATTTAGTTATTCCATATATAAAACTTGATAAATAATTTGCCAAAGAACAATATCTGATAACTGATTACAAGAAGAAGTTTAATTAATGTGATTTAAGGAAAACTTAATCCATCAAACAAAAAAAGAAAATCTTTATTTTCATTCTGATTTTCAACCCCTTCCATCCCTGCTTTTCCTATTTTTCCTTTTTTTTGTTGCATCAATATGTTGCGTTTTGACACACAATTAAACCCTTTAATAATTTCCCTCCTCCTTTAAATATATTTTTCAATGCATTTTTTGTACTTAATTTTGTACTGGAAATTAAGTATAATTTTTAGTATAAATATGTACTGAAAATGTACATAAAATTTCAGTACATTTTCAGTATATATATTGTACTGAAAACGCAACGATTGTTCTGAAATGTTCTTTAAGATTTTGATAGGTCTCGAAAACAAACACGCTATTGTCATAAGACATGTATTCCCCTAAAATTTAGTGGATTCTGTAAATTACCAATCCATCCTGGGAATTAAAAATGTCTTAATGAAAGCGTTTGGGTCATTTTCCCGACCAGACAGTGAAAATCTATTTGAAATCCTTTTCATTAATGATTCCGAGTAGATTGAATTGAATCGGAAGAATCAATAGGTACATTGAAAATATTTCAATGTGAAGCAACAAAGAACATACAAATTGAGACAAGGACATAAGGCAAATACCCATTAGATTTTCTGGATCACAAATATTTTCCCAAGCTCTTCTCATAGCATTCACATCTATAAGTTCTTCAACTTTGCCTTTACATGCAGTGTGCAAGTCTTCAATGCATTCCAGGGCGGTGTCGTATTTGTTCTTTCTGAAAGAAAGAGTATAAAACATATACCCTATGTAAAGAAATAAAGGGGTAAGGTCCTTTACCGATCATATCTTTCTTACCTTTCGTTATTATCATACCAAACTTCCAGAGGTATAATGTATAAATACTTTGACCAAATGGAGAAAAGGAGTGGTATCGATATGGAGAACTGAATTCAACAATGTTTTTCTCTTAAACCAATCATTGAAAACATTCTGTAAAAAACGGTATTTTATGTTATGTTGACTGATTGACAACAATTTAATGCGATAATTATTTAGAAATATTTTATATAACTGTTTTTGTTAACATTTTTTGTTTTGTTTTTCTGTTTTTGCTCCTATACAACATGTTTTAAGATCTCTCGATATTAAAGTTATTCAAAGAAATTTTTGGTTGATTTTAAAAAAAGTATTCAAAAAATTAAAACAAAATCCCTCCAAAATAGATAAAAATCAAGATAAACATTTTATTTCATTAACAAGATACTTTTTTAAAATCAACCACAATTTCCTTTGTACAACTACAATATTCAGAGACCTAAACATGTTGTGTTCATGTCATTTTGTCCCAATGAGGTTCGGAAAGATGTTTCATTTCACTCTGGAAACATGATGTCAAGAACAAAACAAGTGTTTGATGTGTTTTTTAAAACAATATAGATGAAGGTATATATATATATTTTTCTCCATATCGATACCACTCCTTTCAAAGAATTTCGTAAACATGGTAAAAAGTTAGAAAGGATTGAATATAACAACTCCCAAAATTGTGAGTGTGACTTTTTACCATTAATTGACTTCATAAATTTGAGAAATCCTTTACCCAGCAATATGCTCAAGAAAGGGATTTTCTGAGACATAAGAATAGATTGTAAGTTACATTTAGAGGAATACACCATTTAAAAAGTCTTCAATCCAATAAAACTTTGTGAAAAATAGTAGATATAGAATGAGAGTCCGATTAATTAGAACCATTTTGTGATAGAATTTGAGGCAATATCCTTAAGAATCAGAGGTCTCTTCTCAGTTCAAAATTTGGGGTATGGGTGACATATATTACAATCCTATCCCTATCCCCAATTTCACTGCTATTTAAGGCGTAAAACTGTCTAAAAATCATGTTTTAGACGGATTTTGGCACCCTCCCTAATTTTCTGTCAGTGTCTCAATGTTTATTTCAAACTTGACAATTATGACTAGTTTTGAATAGGCTTTACAATGTTATGAAGAATATAACATATAGAGAATGATGTCATTGTCTAAGAGGAAAATGTATTACACTGTAAAATAGCAAAGTGTATTTTACGACGTAATATGAAGGAAAAAGTCACATTAGTGAATTTGTGAGACAACGTTTTTAACCACTTTTTTAAATTTTCATCTAATTTTTCAAAATTTCTACCAGTTATTCACAATATCTATGCCATGTGCCTACACGAGTTAAGTAATGTTATACAAAATTCTGAAAATGTTATGAATGATAAACGACCATGCAATATTTGCAAGCCCAAACGGGAAGGATACATACACTCCACTCCAAAAGTTTGGCAACTTTTATCCTAATTGAACAACAGGTTAATAGGCACTCGTGAACTTTTACTCAATTGGCTTAAATTGATTTCACTCTCTCAGTTTTTTCCTGAATTTTTCCTCTCTCACAAAATGTCGGGCTTTGATGATACAATTTATGAACTTTTGAAAGTCGCAAATCTGTGTGTTCTCCGACTGGTAATGGTGAGTTTGCATTTTGATAGCAGACTATCCATTCATGTCAGCATTCGAAGAATATTCTATATCTAGAAAATTATTTTGCTTTCGTTATTTGACAAGAAATGAATAGCTTTAACTAACATTCTACTAGGGAAGATTCGTTTAAGCTTGTAGTGTCTTCGTTATCAAGCATATTTCACGATTGCTTTAAACATTCTAGGGAAGATTTATATAAGGTAGTAGTGTCTTTATTATGAAGCATATTTCACGATTGCTTGAAACATTCTAGGGAAGATTCATATAAGCTAGTAGTGTCTACATTATCATACATAATTCACGGTTGCTTGAAACATTCTAGGGAAGATTCTTAGAAGCTAGTAGTGTCTTCGTTATCAAGCATATTTCTCGATTGCTTGAAACATTCTAGGGAAGATTCATATAAGCTTGTAGTGTCTTCATTATCAAGCATATTTCACGATTGCTTGAAACATTCTAGGGACGATTCATATAAGATAGCAGTGTCTTCATTATCAAGCATATTTCACGATTGCTTGAAACATTCTAGGGAAGATTCATATAAGTTAGCAGTGTCTTCATTATCAAGCATATTTCACGATTGCTTGAAACATTTAGGGAAGATTTATATAAACTTGTAGTGTCTTCATTATCAAGCATGTTTCACGATTGCTTGAAACATTCTAGGTACGATTCATATAAGCTAGTAGTGTCTTCATTATCAAGCATATTTCACGATGGCTTGAAACATTCTAGGGAAGATTCGTTTAAGGTTGTAGTGTCTTCGTTATCAAGCATATTTCACGATTGCTTGAAACATTCTAGGGAAGATTTATATAAGGTAGTAGTGTCTTCATTATCAACCATATTTCACGATTGCTTGAAACATTCTAGGGCAGATTCATATAAGCTAGTAGTGTCTTCATTATCAAGCATATTTCACGATTGCTTGAAACATTCTAAGGAAGATTCTTATAAGCTAGTAGTGTCTTCATTATCAAGCATATTTCACGATTGCTTGAAACATTCTAGGGACGATTCATATAAGATAGTAGTGTCTTCATTATCAAGCATATTTCACGATTGCTTGAAACATTCTAGGGAAGATTTATATAAGGTAGGAGTGTCTTCATTATCAAGCTTATTTCACGATTGCATGAAACATTCTAGGGAAGATTCTTATAAGCTTGTAGTGTCTTCATTATCAAGCATATTTCACGATTGCTTGAAATATTCTAGGGACGATTCATATAAGCTAGTAGTGTCTTCATTATCAAGCTTATTTCACGATTGCTTGAAACATTCTAGGGAAGATTCGTTTAAGCTCGCAGTGTCTTCGTTATCAAGCTTATTTCACGATTGCTTGAAACATTCTAGGGAAGATTCTTATAAGCTTGTAGTGTCTTCATTATCAAGCATATTTCACGATTGCTTGAAACATTCTAGGGACGATTCATATAAGCTAGTAGTGTCTTCATTATCAAGCTTATTTCACGATTGCTTGAAACATTCTAGGGAAGATTCGTTTTAGCTTGCAGTGTCTTCGTTATCAAGTATATTTCACGATTGCTTGAAACATTCTAGGGAAGATTCATATAAGCTAGTAGTGTCTTCGTTATCAAGCATATTTCACGATTGCTTGAAACATTCTAGGGACGATTCATATAAGCTAGTAGTGTCTTCATTATCAAGCTTATTTCACGATTGCTTGAAACATTCTGGGGAAGATTCGTTTAACCTTGTAGTGTCTTCGTTATCAAGTATATTTCACGATTGCTTGAAACATTCTAGGGAAGATTCATATAAGCTAGTAGTGTCTTCATTATCAAGCTTATTTCACGATTGCTTGAAACATTCTAGGGAAGATTAATATACGCTAGTAGTGTTTTCGTTATCAAGCATATTTCACGATTGCTTGAAACATTCTAGGGACGATTCATATAAGCTAGTAGTGTCTTCATTATCAAGCTTATTTCACGATTGCTTGAAACATTCTGGGGAAGATTCGTTTAAGCTTGTAGTGTCTTCGTTATCAAGTATATTTCACGATTGCTTGAAACATTCTAGGGACGATTCATATAAGCTTGTAGTGTCTTCATAATCAAGCATATTTCACGATTGCTTGAAACATTCTAGGGAAGATTCATATAAGTTAGTAGTGTCTTCATTATCAAGCATATTTCACGATTGCTTGAAACATTCTAGGGAAGATTCTTATAAGCTAGTAGTGTCTTCATTATCATGCATATTTCACGATTGCTTGAAATTTGTAACTTCATGATTCTTATCAGTGATTTAATTAATATTTCATGTTTTGTAGAAATTATTTGATTTATACAATTAGTTTAAACTTTAAACGCTACTTGGTCTGACCTACCTGCACGAATCTCTAACATTGTTAAGATGGCCACCTCCAACAACGGGTACGATGTTTTCTGAGGACTTAGCTAGAATGATTGTATTGGCACAATTAAAGCTTCTTGCAAAGGCATCTTTTGGACATTGGCAGAGGACAAAGAGAGGGCCTGCAATGACATTATAAATAACTTATTTTGGTTCACCGCATCAACTGATCAATTATTTTATTATTTGAGCATTTATTCCAATGTGTGCACGTGGTATCTCTAAGCAGTTCCATTCATGTATACATAGTAATTGGAATGATATAGTAATTCTTCTAATGAATTGTGACAGAATCGAAAGAACGAGTGTAGGAAAAGCCCACTGGAGATTTCAAAATTGACTCAAATTATAGGAAAACTCCTTGAAATAAGATTATTTTAGTTATTTCGCTATATGTATTGCGTGTATTAGTGTAGGGCTGCAATAAACTCAATGAGATAGTGTACAGCTGCAAATAGTAATGCTTAAAACACACACTTGAAATGATGAACACTAAACACTTCCGCCAATCTATCTGACGACTATCAACAAAGAAGAAGAGATATGCACGCATCACTTGTATATCTGGTATGAACCGATACCATAGCAATTAACGGAGAAATATCACAGTGTCTGATCCTAGCGATCAATTAGTGTAGTATTGCGGAAATTTTACAAAAATATTTATCAGATCGACAAATTGAAAGTATCTCTGTAGGTCGTGTTCTGGTTTTTCGAGCGAAATACGATAATGACATGATGTTTATTAAGGACAGTTGGCCGATATGAAAGACTACTGTGTTTCAAATTTGAAACTTAATTAAGCACATAAAAGTGTTTTCTCTGTCTGGCTTCTTTGGATTAAAGCACTATGGGATCAAATAGCAAGCACTCGGACAGCCATTAATATTACTGTTTCTCAAATATATGTTTCATCATATATTAAAATATTTATTTATTCATTATAGTACAACTTAATCATCAGCCCTATAATGTATGGCCTTAGCATAATTCTTTCATATTCCTGATGTTTTCACTTACCAATGATGCATTGAAACCCCAGGGATTAGAGCAATTCGTTAGTCTGATTTCCTCATAAACTTTATAGCCTTTATATGCAAGTCGCGCCATATAGAATTTATAATGAATTTGGGACACTTCTAAATCTAGAGGGGCGATGTATGATTAACTGAAGTTTATGTCTGTTCTTTCATGATAACATCGTGTTTTATCCGACACGGTCATTATTTGGCTTTGATATATTCTTTTAATTCCTTCCCGCTGATTAAAGTCTCCCTAATAACATGCAATGATTGGCTCGGGAATGCGTGACCCCACATGCTTCACACACCCCTTCCCAATTAAGATATATATTATTTATATCTGTACACAGAAATCAAATTAATTCCAAGTAAATCAAAGTTAGTGTCAGTTGTAGATATATATGCAATCAATCTCTAAAGAATCTATAGAATACGAAAATATCCACAGCATTTTGCTCACAAACACCATGTATAGCATACTCGAAATATGTAAATTTCTCGAAAACTAAGCGGACCGAATGGCCCAGTCAGATATATATTATGGATAGGCGTATGATATACCAACTAACGGACACGAGGGCGATTCCATAGTTTCACAGGATGAGCAAAAGGACCATTAATGCATATATGCTTACAAGTCAAAGGCCAATTAACAACGTTCAATTTAGAAAAACTCATTAAAAGAGCTAAAAACTAAATGCAGTACACATATCTAATTATAATCAATACAAGTAAGACGTATGTAAGCATTAGATAATTGATGTTTTCAAATTGTGTTGTTCTACAAAACCCTGCGTCACGTGTGCTGATATCAACGGCATTTCATGTGTGCTATTTTGATGTCATCCCAACTGGTAATCATAACCATGCGATGTATATTAGAAATATTGTATATTATTTCTCAAAAAGAGCTCAAATGATTTATGACAAAAAACAAAGAGCCCGGATTACAGCACCTTCAGTGCATCGATTGCGTTGATCTTTTTCAACCTACATAAAAAAATGTTTGACACGAGCTCTTAAAGGGCGATGATAGATGTGTGTTACCTATGAAATGAAATGCCTTTTCATTGTATATAGCATTTGTCTAATATTTTTTATCCTTCAAAACACTGGTCCAAGTAACATTATTACAGCTTAATCCAAATTTGTTTATAAATTGAATATGTTCAGCAATTGTTGGAGGATACAAAACGTATGGACATAATAAAAGGGTTCTCTTTTTATGAGAATGAAATATCATCATACCACCCATTTTGAGAGCTCGCCGGAAACATATTTTATGAACAAGTTGTAAATTGATCTAAGGATTTGATTTTTTATGTTGTCCGAGTTTCCATAGAAAGCGTTGATTTTTGTCTAAAAATCACCATCAAAGCTGTTTTTAAGAAATAATAAGCAATATTTTTCTTTATCGTATGGTAATGGTAAAAAGATGTGTTGATATCAAAATAGCACAGATTTAATGTCAGTGATATCAAAACACATGACCACCCCCTGGTATGAATGGACAATGTTTTGAAGTAATGATGAAAATGTGGACAAAGCCCGGCAAAATGGTATCGTACATCGCTAATTTAAACAATATTCTTTGTGTATTCCTGACGCACTAAGCAAGTACATTCGCTATAACCACAACCAAATGAGAGTAAACTATTAGTAAGAACAAAAAAATGCGCATAAACCCATTAATTGTTGAGATCTTGTAAGTTAAAGTTACAAAACCATGTTAGTTTTTTGAAAATTCAGATTGTTTTCACTGCTAGTAGGATTATCACACATTATTTTTACTTAAATATTCGTAAGATGTATAAAGCTTATCATCATACATCACTAACAATTGAAATTATAACATTATATCCCTTCAAACATTTTTGAGTCCAACTAATATAGTTTTTAACGCATTTATTCGTGTGGACACTGAATTGATGCAATATTACATTGTTGACAATTGGATCTTGTTGATACTGGTATGCAAGAACGGATGAATAGCAATGGTTTTAACATATTCACATTTATTTCTCTTTTTTGAGGTTGTGTCAGCAATTTTACTTTTTTCTGAGATTGTCTTCTGATTCATTTGATTTTACTATCACGAGACTGAGTTGTTCTTCAATGTCAATTTGAATAATTTTTCCACTTGCCCTTATTTCATTTGGTATTATATTTGAAAAGTTTCAATTGGCTATCAATTTCTAATTTTTTCTTCAACATGTATTGTAATGACTTCAGTATGAATGAAATGTCCCTTGGTCTTCTGGTCTTGGATTGTGATATTGGTTCTTGAATGGTGGGGGAAAGGGGGTATTAGACATTGTTTCTTTTCAAGTAAGATCATGGTTTTGGGCTATATGGGTTTGTTTTTCTTGACATTAGGAAATATGAATTTTAACAAGGAAAGTGGGAAACCAAGATTCTTGAAAACTCGTATCCTAATTCCTGAGATGTATGATTTATATATGGATGCACTCGCACATGTTTACATAACAACATTGTCCGACATACGCGAAAAATAAATTCCAACAGTTACATATATTTGGGAATATAAGCGATGGGTTATCACTCGTACCGTCATAGGACTTTCCTAGGGGTCCTTTACTTGCCTAAAACACCAGGAAAGGAGGAGAATTCCAAAAATACCGAAAGTTATCTCATTTTTTTGTTAAGTCGCATTTAACTTTCAATCCATTAAGTTTGGGGTTTCATTGAAGCTATAGGTGTTCATTGACACACAATCCAAACATTTGACCAAGTATCGACTTTACAAAGTGTTCAAATATGAAATATGAACATACCTTCCCTCCAAGACCTCCATTTTGCCGGGCTTTGCCCAAACATTTCACCATTGCTCCAAAAAATTGTCCACACTCATACCAGGGGGTGATGACGCAGCTTTAGCAGAATAACAGAATTTAAATAGTATCAATTATCGTAAATTTGCCCATGAATACTCTATCGGCCAGAAAGCAAATGGTAATGATGACCATCATCAAGTGGTCATTCCAAGCCCCTTCCCTCAACAACTCCAAATGTCAAACAAGGGTCGATGAAAAAAGTTTCTTACCATTGGCTCTACATTTTAGAATTAGAAGAGTTGGATGCTCAAATACGAAGCAAGGCAGTTAGATTGCTTGAATCTGTATGAGTTTCATACACATTGGTGTATTGGTAGTGACAAAAAGTCAATACATATATGTTCAAAGACTAAATAAGGTGGAGTAGTGTTATTTAAAAAAATCAGCTGACTTTTACTATACGAGTCCCACTGACTGGCACAACGCTTACCTCCACAGCGTATTCTGCATCGATAAATAGTGTACTATTTACTACTCTGGGTCTATTATTAATACAATTAACCATCAATTTCATAATGGCTGGAACGCATACTAATGATACATTTTTTTTATTTCTTTACTAATATCGAAAACTAAATATTGTTACTCGAAGTATAAAATTTGTACAACACTTTCAACATTCCATTATTGTGTCGATTGGTGTATACCCTGCGCGCAGAATCTATACTGCCGAAGACGAATCTCTCTTTTAAGAAGTGAGATCGAACGAATGCAAATGGTTATTGGAGTACAGGATGATTCTTTAATTACAGTATGCGACCCTGTAAAATTGTTTTTACTATTAAAATGAGATTTTGAGTTGAATGAAATAGAATTCAGAAATTGAATTACTTCTGTGTTCTTCATCTAGGGATCACATTGATGTCTGATTCGATTCCAAGATTACTTTATGTAAAAAATCCAATTCGGCTTAAAGTAGCCTGTTAGAACATCACGATAGTTAAATACTTCGCAAGCTGCTAAAATGTTTTAATTGTTAATGGGAAAAGGTCTATAGTTGCTAGGGGCTCTTTCCATTATTTTTGTAAATACTCTCTAGGAAATCGTGTTATCAGGCTGGAACCAGATAAGATGCTATAACTCACAGACCGTCAGGGTTTCTAAAGCTTTATTGGAGAGGCAAATTAAGTCTTAATTAGACCCATGTCTCGTGGGAATTACTTGAAATTGACTACCGGCTTGATTTATATGAAACCGTGCGTCTGAAAGAGAAACAAAGGAATACAAGATTAAGGCCAGCTTTGT